TCTATTTTAGGTGTCTTTAAACTTCCAGGTGAAGTTTTGTTGGGAACCAGTGATCATCATCCTATTTATAGATTAAAAACAGCTCCTCCGACTGGTGACACACTTTCTGCAGATGGTGCAGCTCAGACCGTCTCAGGGTGGGTTCACTCGAAGGTGAGTCTGTGTGAGGACGGAGCTAAATGAAACACGTCACCACTGGTAGTTTCACTGGTTTATATTTTTGGGTGACTCAGGTCAGACTATTGGTGATGCTGTCGATGATGATGTTGCACTGATAAGTGATGAAGATTTAGTAATAAATGTGATAAATATATATATCGAGACACGAGTGCTGTTGTGGAACGGATTCAACTCGTATCTCGTGTGTCCACTCTTTTGTGGGTTAACCTTCTTCCTTGATCATTTATGCTGATGCTAATTATACTATAGTAACATCTGTAATAAACATACTGACATACACCAGTTATAACGCATCACACATCATGTATGATTTTGTATTGGTGTTTTCAAGAGTGAAGGACACCAGCTGAAGATGAAGACGTATTAATTTTATTTGTGGATGCCGTACTATCACATCCCATCCAGCAGATGGAGGTTTCTGTGGCACCACAGTGATCCACTGAGATCCACTGACTCTGCTGCTGTAATGGAGTCTGAGTGAAATCCACAGACAGGCAGCAGTGAACAGATGAGGCTGTGGAGTCACTACTTCTTCCTCCTCCGTCTCAGGCTGCGTCGTCAGTTTGGGCCGATTTACTTTGGTCACATAAACCTGAATATTGTTGTCCTGTGTGACGTTTGCTCGAATGACTGCAGTGACCTTTAAATCTCAGAGCCACTCACGTCACAGCTGTGGGTTAGAGGAACATTAAACCTTTCATATCTGCAGAGCTTCAGCTGTTCTAGTGTTTTTATCACAGGAAGAGAAATGTGACCGTGAGGAACCAAGGAGTGGTTTTTCTTGTCCTGCTGATTTATGACCATCAGGTCAACTGTCTGCTGCTTCTGTTGTTGACAGTACAATTTTGTATTTTCTGTCACCTCATCTCTGGTTGTTTTTTTTTTTTTTTTTTTTTTTTTTGTTTTCTTCCACAGATAATTAGAGTGAATCGTGTTTGATGGCAGATTTAATTTGTTTCCTGTCTCCTCTCTTTGTCCTGTCCTCTGTCCTCATCTTCTTTTTAATCATCTCATCATTTCTTAAATTCTCTTCTTATTTGTTTCTCATTTTTTTCTCCCTCATCAGAATTTCCTCATCTTTTCCAGTGAGCTTTTCAACAACACACGTTCCTGACTGAAATGAACAATTGAATGATTTTGATTTTTAAAACAATTACAGAAAATAAGTCTCATCAGAACAAACAACAGTTTAAAGATATAACAAAAGAGTGTCGTCACCGACGGCTTTAGACAAACAGCCGTTTACAGCCCCCACTCTGTGCTGAACTTCTTGATTCTCCTCATCTTTGTTCCATGTCCTCTAAGGAGAAGAAGAAGAATCATCTTTAATCATCCCTCTTCTCTCTTCTTCACCAGAGCGTTGGTGTGAACGTTACGGAGATCTTCCAGGAGAGCTGCTGTGTGTGGAGCTGGACAAGGAGAAACAGGGTTTAGGAGTCAGTTTGGCCGGGAACAGAGACCGATCCCGTCTCAGCATCTTTGTGGTTGGACTCCATCCTGGAGGAGCAGCCGCTCGAGACGGACGCATCAGAATTGGAGATGAACTGTTGGAGGTCAGAACCACACACACATTGTTTTCAATTAGGACCTATACCGTATATTCCGGGCTATAAATCACTCTGGAGTATAAATTGCACCAGTGCCCTCTAGTGGCGGGCAGTGTGAAAATAACAAATGTGAACTTATAGTCCATAAAATACGGTAATTAGTTTCCTCTCCCTACATCATCAAATCTTATACGTACACATGTCAAACTTATAAGGATAAAAGGTTAAAGGATATTACATTTAATGCTAATGTTTGTGACATGTGACTAATGCATGAAGAAATCAATTCATCTTTGTGGTGCGGCTGTGGAGGTTTGGACAGATGTAGCTTCAGACTGTATCTGCAGGCACAAAAATAAAGTCAATGACTGTGTTGAACATCATCTGTGAACATCAATGAATCTTTAAAATAACATTTGCTGAGTGTTGGCTGATGATTATTTTAAAACCGTCTGATGATGGAGACACCACTGAACATCCATCAGTATAGAGGAGACACTGTCTTTAATCTGACTGTGGAGACACTTAGTCAGGGACAGCTGCTGCTGCCGCTGTTACTGCTGCTGTAGTGGATTTAAAAATACAAAACAAAAACCATTCTTCAAAATCATTTAGACTGTGTTCATTTAATGTTAATTTTTTTAATCAACCTTTAATCAAGGTTTCAGCTCAGTTCATCAATAAATGATCAGCTGAGCAGAACGACTGATGGTCACATGACGCGCTGCGTTACTGTATATGCCCATTATTAATTAATACGTTTGTCCTCATATTTATGGTTTCTGATTCCAAACCTACAGTAGTGAACGTGTAACTGAGACTCACAGGTATTTATGACCAACACTGACAGTTTTGTAGTAAAGTCAGTGAATTTAATGTGAAGAATTAAGAATTAATGAGGTCTTTTTACACCTCCGTTCTCAGATGAAGAATTTAAATAAGTAGTATCGGCACGTTACAAATGTTTGAAGTCAATTACTTAATTCTCTCTGCGTCGTCTGTCACCACAGAATTAGATCTGATGTGAAATCTCATCACAAACTGTAGATTAAAACATGGACATTAACACGTGCTGCACCCCCCCCACACTCTCCCCCATTCTTCTTCCTCTCTTTTACCTCTTCTTTTTTCCATTTCCACATTCTTCCCACTTGCATTATTCCATTTCTCTCTTTCTACTGCTCTTCTTCGCCCCCTCTCTCTCCCCTTTACCTCCCCCCTCTCCTCCTCTCATTACAGCAGTGTCAAAGGCTTCATGAAAAATGGATGCTGAGTTCAGTAAAGCCTGAAATATTTCACCCCACTACGCTATGCATACACCCACACATTACTGCGCAAAACACACACAATACACACTGACACAGACCCAGAAACACTCTGGAGGAAAAATACATATTAATGAGGACACACACACACAATAAAACACACACTCCAGGTTCAGAGTGAATGTTGTTGTTAAATATATTTTTGGATGGATTGCAGTAAAATGTTTAACTTTAAACACACTAACTACATAGATGAGAAATACACGTGAGTGTGTGTGTGTGTGTGTGCCAATGCTGATAGAGACTCACACAGCTCTATTATACTTTGTTAAATGACTTTGTCATCGTTTTATGGCTCCAGGCCCTCTTGGTGTACGCTCTCACAGCTGAGAGACTTTTCAATTAAAACTCAATTTAAGCTGTGTGCGCAGTTTGGTGTGTGAGAAGGAGACCTTTGACCTCACCGGGACCTTCTGCCTGGTCTAACGGTGTGTTCTTGTGTTTGTCCGACAGATCAACAACCAGGTACTTTATGGTCGGAGTCACCAGAATGCCTCAGCCATTATTAAGAGCGCTGCGTCCAAGGTGAAACTAATCCTGCTCAGGTAAGATTGTCACAGAGGCTGGAACTGATGTGTGTCTGTCACTGATGTCCACCAGTCCACTGTCAGTAGGTCTGTGGTCAAAGCTACAGTATGAAGGTTTGTGAGTGGTCAACAGGACGAGAGAAACAAGATAAAAATATATTTATACTCCACAGCTTCTGTAATGGAAGCCTTTTCCTCTCAGGTCTCACAGGTGAGACAGACTGTGACTGCAGCTGGTCCAGGAGCCTCTGAGATCATTGATCTGATTGGTAGATAATTTCCTCACAGCTCTGTGATTAGCCCAGTACAGATCAATACAAATAAATGTAATGTTTACTTGTTGAGGTCTCTCAGGGTCAGATCAGTGAAGAATGACGCAGCTCTCTGCAGACTGAAGGAGTACTTTTCAAGGATGTAAAGCTCTCTTGGCCTCCGTCACTTCTGTGCTATAGTCTGTGTGTGTGTGTGTGTGTGGGGGGGGGGTTCTGATGAAATACAGTTGTTGTGAAAGCGGAGAAATGAATATCTTTTTATTCACCCCCTGCCCCGCCCTCATCCTCCTCCCCCCAGGCCGGCTCTCCTGGTCTGTAGAGTCTCACCGGCAGCAGAAGGTGAAGCAGTGTGATAAGGAGAAAAAGAAAACTTTCTGTTTTATAAGCACCTCACATTCTCTCCCCCCTGAACAGTTTGTCTCTTCAGCAGTCCTCTTCACGCTCTCAATTACAGACGTAAAAGAAAAAAACCCTCCCTTTAAAGTCGGAGGTTTATCACAGAACAACAGCATTCGCTTCAACTTTGAGTCTCGGCTAAAAAAAAAAAAGTATTATCTCTTAAAAAAAAAAAGATACACACCGTCACCCCCCACCCGCGCCCCCCCCCCCCCCCCCCACACACACACACACACCTCCCGTGGTCAAAAATGAAATATATATGTCATCAGGTGTGTCTAACAACACAGGACATTTTTTCAAATGTATTCTTTTTTTCTTGTTCTGAGTTCAGTGTCAAAGTCTCCCAACTCTGGTTTGATGTTGGTGCTGAATTTGGAGTTAATGAAAGACGACTCAGGAGGAGACGGTCCTTGACTTTTAAAGACCGTGTCCTTGGAGACATGAGAGGAGCTGAAGACAGTGTAGCTCTCCCCCTCCTTCCCCTCATCCCGTTCCTCCTCAGCTCTGGGCAGCAGGAGTTGATTTTCTGCTTTGTAGAGAGCAGGTGTCATGTATTTTCACCAAGGTATCATTAGGACTGAAGCCCCCCAGGTCAGAGCAGGTCTATATATAACAGCAGTCATTCTAACCTGCACTTTGGATGTTCCATGTTTAAATCAAATTTATTATATGAAGTTTTTTACTTCATTAATCCCACAGATCTGCTGCAACAGGCTGACCCTTAGAGGGTGCCAAGTATGTGGTTCCTCTGGGAATTAAACCCAGGACTCTCTGCTTGCCAGGCAGTCATGCTAACCGCTTCAATTGAAGCACTTTTGTGTCATGTTGCAGTAGTAACACCTGATGGCTTTTTTTGTGGTAATATTTAAAGTTCAGTCAGACAGAGATTAAAGGTCATCAGACAGTGTAGACCTACTGTGTAGAATAACATCTGTTTCTAAATACAAAGATATATTGGATAAAGAAAAAAACGCAACTTCACCACATGGTCCTCCTCAGCCTCAGTGGGATGGGGACCACTGGTACCCTCCTAGTCCCTAGTC